TGGCAGCTCGTGCCCTGAGCGCCCGCAGCCTGCGGCACGAGGCCGGGCGCGACTTCGACACCGCTGACCTGCTGGAGTTGGAGCGAGAGGTCCTTAAGGTGGGCGAGATGATAAACGACATGGAAACGAAGGTCAACGTGCCCCGCTGGACAGTGCAGACCCGGCACACGGCGGGCGCCGAACTCCTGTCCAGTGCCAGCGTCGGCGCCTCCTCGACCGTGTCGGTGCAGGAGCGCTCGGGGCGCTGCGACCCCAGCAAGGCCCTGGCTGCCACGATTTTCAGCGCGGTGCTGCTGGCGGCTGTGGCTTTAGCCTTGTGCGTGGCAAAGCTGAGCTGACCAACACCTGCTGGGCACCTGCCGCCGCAGCTCCCTCCGCAGAAACAAGACACGGGATGGGCTTGAGGTCTGGGCTGTTAAGGGGAGCGGCACTAAAACACTGTGTATGCCATGGGTACCCGCTCGTTTCATGCATACCTCTGCCTGAGTGAGACACCGTTTTCTCTTGCTGGCCTCGGAGGAGTTAACTTTTCGCGGCCATCAGAGCATTATAGCTAATGTCTGCAGGAGCTTTATTCTCTACTAATAGAAAATGGTCCACAGTGACCCCAGATCCCGTGGTGTTACTAGGACATCCTTACACAGAGTCCAGATTTGGTGCCCCTTACCCTGTCAATGTTTGTCCCCCATTATCTGCGTGTGACAGTTTGGAAAAGTGGGTGGGAGGAAGCCTAAAGAGCAGGGTAGTTTTGTCCTGTGTGGCTGATTGTTTCGTTTCCTGGACAAGAAAAAAATTGCAGTAAGATATGAGCAGTTTTATTACCTTAATCTCGTGGGGCCTGTGCATAGAAGAATGCAGTTAGAAGTTCATATACAGTGCTTTCAGGATGGTGCACTATTGTGCTTCTTGGCAGTTTATCCATTAGTCACCAGTAGCAGCTATAGAGAGGTTTGGAGTTGTGACCGCCCCTACTGTGCAGGAGCTGACCCTATTAGGAAACCAAAGAAGATCCTTGAACCGCTGTGGCAGGATTGTATCCACTGCACACTCTTGGCCCACAGAAAAGGACCCTCCTTAGCCAGCCCAGGATGGGGGAAAGATAGGTCCAGGAGGCTTTGGAGAGAGCCACAGATTACGTGAATGAGGCACTTTCTCCTTCACAGGGGCTTGTTTTCATTTCAGAATTAGACCAGAGTGTTTGATCCTCCTTTGAGGGAGAGCTGGGGAATCCTCTTTAGAGTACTTAATCCTGTCTATCCCCAGAATTTGCTTGCTGGCCAATAAGAGAGCTGGGAAGCTCCCTGACGCACACCCTGCCCAAAGAGGGTAATGTGGCATTACTGGCCTGCAGAGATTTTTAACCAATCAGCTCTGAGACTGGGTTAGAGTTTGTAAAAGCTTTAGCTTGGAATTTAGGAAGCTTTTTAAAAAATGATAATCATCTGGGAGAAAAAAATCACATCAGTACTATCAAAGTCTTTTTTTTTTTTAAATAAAGGACATTGGCCTACAAATTCAAATGTGCCAGTGAGCCAAACAGAATTCTACAGGTACACTTAGGTTACTGAATGTACATCTACATCTATTTTTAAAATCTATATTCTTAAATATAGACTGCATTTTGAGGCTGTAGCATAAACTACTGGCATGAGTAACAGAAATAAGTGGCCCTGGCTTCTTTTGATCAATGAATAAGGAAATATGGAAAACACTCTTGGTCCCATTTGCCTGAGCAAGGCTGCCACCTTCCACGTGGGGCCCAGAGAGGGCTCTGCCACATTCCTGGGAAAGTGAGGCTGAGGAAACTGATGTACAGAACTTTCTAAAGGTAATTATTTTGCTTTGAGACAGGCTCTCGCTATGTAGTCCAGGGCTGGCCTTGAACTCAGTATGTAGGCTGGGCTGGCCTCAGACTTAGGGCCACCCTCCTACCTCAGCCTCAGCCTCAGCCTTGGGAGTGCTGGGGTTACAGGCACGCACCACCATGCCAGGGTAAAGGTAATTTGGAACCAAAGAGACCTTGGTTTGGTTGAAAATTGATGAGAGTTTCGTTTTTTTCATAACCCCAGAAGTGGGAAAGGGGACCAGGTGGAGGGAATTGGCACTTTTTCACCAGGGCACCTTGAGAGCCAAAGGGACAGAAGTAAATGCTATAGTGTTGCTGTCTTGGCACTGTCCTCACCCATTCCCACTCTTCAGCACACAGACTCCAGAGCTTCAGATAGGGAAAACATGGACTCTAAAAGCCCACAAATAGGGCTTGGGTGTGGCTCAGTGGTAAGGTTCTTGCCTACCACACCCCAGGCCCTAGGTTCAATCCCCCTGCTTTGTAAAAAGCTAAATCAGATCCACAAGATGGTACACTGATCAAACTTGAGTTTGTCTCAAAGAATACCAAAGGGGTGGCATGTACCTCAGTGTGAAGGCCCTGACAGTTCAATCCCCAGTGCCATGAAGTTAAAAAAAAAAAAAAAAAAAAAACTTGTACAACAGTTAAACACAAGCTTCTTTGGCCTCACCTGGTCTGAGTGAGTCTAAATTAGAGACCATGCTCAATTTTCTTGCACTTGCCTGCTCAGGATGACTTTGGAGATGATACAGAAAGACTTTAAACTTCACCTCCCACACACAACACAGAGTCTCTGATACCTCTCCAAAGTGTGCTCCCTCTCAGGCAAGAGAAGAATAGGGCATTTTATGACCCTGTGTTGGAAACTATCCCTAAAATTCAAGCCCCAACTGTACTTCTAAGATTATTGTTTCTAAGAGTCCAACCTTCTGTGTTTTTTTCAGGGTATTTTGATTCATGAAAAAAAGTATTCAGCACAACCTATTAAAAAAAATATCTCAGATGAATAATGCACTGAGAGCTAACAGGACAAATTGTCTTGTTGCTTTTTTTCAGCCATTTGGAGGTTCCTAGGGTTTTTAATTCTATGTGCAATCAGATGCATATCTGATTCAGAGGCTCCCCTGCCCATTGAAATTAGTAATAAAATGTTGCGAAAAGAAATGGTTAATTAAAGTAAACATATTCACCTTTTGGACCTATTTATTTACACAACTCTGAGTCTGAAAATTTTAAGCATTAGGAATACTTGGCATTCTTTGGCATTATAACATCTAAGAAAACTTCTACATGACACAAGCAAAATCACCCTCTGCCTTGGTGCCGTAGGCTGCTCTCTAGCTAGTATCCCTGCTTTGATTTCCATCTATAATGCAAGAGACTGCTTTCGATAGAAGCCTAATTCAAGTTTAGATGTCTGCTAGGGACATGATTGATTTTCTATAAATATTTTATATGATCTTATACTGTGATACAAGTGATAGTAAAATATTTTAAAT